AGAAAGCAGCTGAGGTGTGGCGAGGGGCCGGGCTGGGGGAGCCATGGGCAGGGAGGGCTTGGGCTCAGGGTCCCCTTTGGGGAAGGAGATGTTCCCCGGAGATGTTCCCCAGCGATGTTCTGGGCTGTGGGGGGAGGGCGCCGGGGATGGACTGAGTGCTCAGCACGAGATCCACGGAAAGGATGCATTTTACTTAAAAGAGATAATAGAGAGCGTAGAGGACGTGGAAAGCAACGATGACAGTGACACTGTACTGGAGGGAAAGAACACAGGGGGAGGGGATGAAACACTGTGGCGGTGGCGGTGGCGGGGCGTGGGGTCGGGGCATGGGACTGAGGGGAACCGTCCAGGGAGCTCTCCCCGCAGAGCGGGGGCTGTGGAGGGGGCTCTGGGAGCCCCGCAGGAGCAGGTGTAGGGGCAGGGGCTGGGCCAGGGGCTGGGCCAGGAGCACGGCCAGATGCAAGAGCAGGGACAGGGGCAGGAGCAGGAGCCAGGGGAGGGGCAGGTCAGCAGGAGCGGCAGGTGCAGGATGCAGGGCTGGAGCTGGGTCAGGGACGGGAACAGGAGTGCAGGCAGGGGCAAGGGAAAGGGCAGGAGCAAGGGGCAGGAGCTGGGTGTGGGGCAGGAACAGGGGCCCAGGCAGAGGCAGGGGAAGAGCCAGTGGCCCTGCGAGGGGCCAAGGGAGGCCCTGCGAGGGGCCAAGAGCCAGTGGCCTGGGAGGTTCAGAAGCCTTTCCTGGGACTGCGGACTCCTGGGTCAGAGAGGAGGTCATGTCCGCCTGCCTCTTCTCATCCGTGGCCTTCTGCAAAGACAGGGACCGGTCGCCGGCCCGGACGCATCACAGCCCCGCCCGGCCGACCCCACTGTGGTCCTGCCCAGTCCCCCGGCTGCTCCCACATCAGACACAGACCTGTGTCTGATGTGTGTGCACAGCCCTGCACCCGAGACTGGGGCCCACACCCGCAGGGCTCTCGGGATCAAACCTGGCCAGGAGCTCGCATCCCCCACACCCCGTCCCACCCAGCCAGCCTTGACCTTGAACGGGACCTGCCCACCTCATCCTGACCCCTCATCCACCTGCTCCTGCTCAGGAAGGCCCCACCCCACGTGAGCCCTCCTTCCATACGTGTGGGGCTGGGTGGCCGGCTCTGGCCTCCCGGTGTCACCTTTCTCTGCTTTCGGCTGGATGGCCAGAGGCATCGGGCAGCCCTGAAATGACCTCCCGAGCGAGGGGAAGTGTTTGCCGGACGCGCAGTCCTCTGCCTCCAGCGTCCCGCGTTGGGGATGCAACATGCAAACATGTTGTTGGTTGGACGATGTCCAAGGCAATGAGCTGTGCAAGGGGGCTTCCCTGGAATGTGGGTGCCTGGTGATGCAGGTTCCAATTCTGTTGGGCTCTGTGGCCTGGGAAGTGAGGTCACCACTTCCTGGGGACCCCTTCCCCGACTTCCTCCTCCCAGCAGAGCCCCCGAGGGCCCCCTCCCCCAGCTGCTCGGTGCTCATCCTCCACCCCATGCCCTGTCCATACAGTGGCACCCCCACAGCCCACCCACATCCCCCGTGAGTCCTGATGCAACCATTGTCCTCGCTTTGAGGACAGAGCTGGGTTCAGTCCAGTTTCCTGCTTCTGCCCAGGACTGTGACCCCGGACAGACCCTGTGCCTCCCAGGGCCTCCCCAGGCTCTCTATCTGCGCAGTGGGGTCTTCTGGCTGCTACTTCTAGGGGCGCCTTCCGGGGAAGGACTCTACAGACGTTCCGTCCCTGCTATCACAGGAGGCCGGTGCACACACTTGGAAATGCAAGGGGGAGCGGGAGCTGGGTGGGCCACGCAACAGAGCTCAGAGGGGCCCGGGTCTGCTCTGGGGTCCAGGCAAAGCCACTCCCCTGCTGCCCGTGTCCCGGCCCCCATGGGAAGGCTGCCATTTACTTTCTGACCTTGTCCCCTGGTGACACAGACTTCCAGGGGCTCCCATTAGGTGTATGTCCTGGTCCCAGGGCCTCGCGTGCGCCCATGGGCTGGGCCGTCCCCACAGTGGTTCCCGGGCATTCCCGAGTCCTGCGCACACATCCCTGTGGAGTCCCTCCCCCCAAGCTGGATGGCCCATGTGACTGCGCTCTCAGGAAGAGAATGGGGCAAAAGGATGGGATGTCATTTCCAAGCTGATGGAGGGAAGTCTGGGACTTTTCCTGGTTCCCTCTCACGGGTTCCTTCTCTGTGTGTGTCTCTGGGTCTCTGTTCTCTGTCTGTCCTTTTGTCTCTCTTTGATCCAGGGCTTTGGAGACACAAGCCCATACAGTTGAGCCACCCTGGGAGACCCCAGTCCAGAGAACCTACCAAGGGTCCAGGATGACCGGCAGGCAAGTCCTGAAACCCCCATTCTGAACCACTTCCCGCCAACACCCGAGAACGGTCCTGGAGACGGAGCCTGCCCTAGTCGGGCCTGAGCGGGGACAGAGCCCTGACCTCTGGGGGACCAGGAGGCAGGGGCTCCCCGCCAAGCTGAGTCCGGATTCTGGCTCTCGGATGGTGAGCAGGCGCCTGGGAGGCCTGTGTGTCCCACGGCACAGCCAGGAGGCCCTCCCGGCAGGCTGGGGTCTGGTACACGGACTGAGATAGGTCAGGTCTGTTCCTACAAGCACTGAGCTCGGGTCCTGTCTTTTGTCAGGACTCTGGGAGAAATTCGGTGTGCACAGTCAGTTCCTAAGCTGTACAAAAGGGCATCTGTGGTGTGGAGACCCTGTCCCTCAGGGGGCTGGTATCCTCCATGTTCTAGTAAGGAAATAAGTAGAAAGAGGCTGTGGCCTTCTGGAACTGTGGAGGAGGATGACGGGGGCCCGCACAGAAACCCGCAGTGTCCCAGAGAGCTGTGTTGACAGCCGGGTTGACCAGAAGGCGCCGAGCTCTGCGGGCCCCGGGCGTGCTCTGTGCAGACGGGCCTGCCTCCAGCGCCTTCCCCAGCAGCAGGCAGCCAAGGTATGGAAAGCGAGGGACGGTCAGAGAGCTGAGCTGGAGGACAATGGAGCGGGAGCCACTCACGTCCTGGAGGAACGAGGCCCACGTGTTGCCCCAGCCAGAGCCCTGGGCTGCCGCCAGTGTGGCCTTTCCAGGCCACCTCTACCACCCATGTCACCGCGGCCTCACTGTCTCTTCCCGCACGGAGGCTGAGGCGGCAATCCACTCTGGCCTCACGCTGTGTGGTCTAGGGGGGCCTCTGCAGGTCACCAGACCCAGGATTCGATCCTACGGCCCCCCACTAGAGGGGATGGGGGCTCTGGGCTGGAGGACAGGGTGAGGACACCTAGCCCAACTCCCAGGGGCCGAGTGCGACGCTGCGGCAGGCAGGGTCTAGGGCCTGAGCGGGCCGCGTCTTCCCGTGCCTGTGCCGGCGGCCTGGAACGTGTGCCTCACAGCCCGGCTGGACTTTGAGTCTGGGGCCGCGACAGGCTTCACTCAGCCGCTGGAGCAAAAATGCCAGACCCGCGCCCAGCCCTTCTTCCCCGTCTGCTGTGGCCTCGACGGCTGTGGTCTCGGCGTGACCGTGACACGAGCAGGACGTGGCCGCTCCCGGTGGGAGGGGTGGAAAGGCAGCAGAGCCGAGCCAAACCAGTCACATCCCGCCAAGCCCCAGACACCAGAGCGATCTGCCGAGACCCCACACGGCCCAGCCGCACCGGCCTGCACCGGCTGGCCCCACACTGACCCCAGACGGGAAAGATAAGTGCATCTGTGCGGCTCCCAGCCCCGAGATCCTGTGGTGGTCGCTCCGTGGCCTTGGCTGATGGAGCCATCCTGCCGCGCTCTCCTTGGGTGACCCTCACCGCGCCCGTCGACGCCATCACCCACGAGGTACTGGTGACCCCACGTGTCCAGCCCCCACATCTCTGTCCTCTGAATTCCAGCCCCCCACAGGGCATCTCCATTTGGGGGTCCCTGACCCCAGACGCAGCCCTCAAGCCTGCCCCGTGTTCCCTTTCCTGTGCCGGAAACCCCTGCCTCAGCCTGCATGTCCCCCTCCACAGCCTGCATGTCCCCCCGCCGCAGCCTGCATGTCCCCCCCCACAGCCTGCATGTCCTCCCCGCAGCCTGCATGTCCCCCCGCCGCAGCCTGCATGTCCCCCCCC